AAAGAAAGTGCAAATCAGTGGAGCTGAAAGAAGAATATGCTGTGAAAATCTTATCTGCTGGCTTGTCAGCACTCAGCATCCAGAAGGCTTAGATTACAGCTGCATCATTCGTAGCAAAATTTCAGCATATGAAGTTCTGCATGTATTCTTTGCAAATGTCATTTTGAAATACTTACTGATGCAATGCAAAATGTTTTCTCGTGAAAGGTCCTAACCTTTTTAATCAAAGAATGTCTCTTCAAGCAGTCAGCCTGTTTTACTGTTGAATCACTGTAAGCTTTAACATTTTGCCTTCAGCAACAGGGAAAATAAACATTCTGTTCTGCTCACTGAGGTGAATCTTGGGTTTCTAAAGCAAAATGTACACTCAATAATGAAAACTACAAATGAAAGGTGCAAATTTTCTGCAACTGATGACACACTCCAGCTGCAGAGAGCACCTAGGGGGGCTACACAATCTCACATCACATAACAGCCCAGGAAATGGGGAATAATGAGTGGCATCAGGTCTGCGTTAATCAGTGGACATGTCTGTAGTAATAGAAAGAAAATGGCTACTGAAAGAACCAAGAGTGGGAACACCTACAAAACCCCAAATCAGTGCCCATTAGATGAATTTAGCATCCAGTGATTCTTACAAATAAACACAGAGAGAGGGAGATTGAGATGATGAATCTGGAGCGAAAAAAAAAACAAAACCAAAACCACAACCAAATCCCAAACAAACAGATTCATTCACCATCACTTAAATCTTAATAGCCAGTATCATATACCCCCTGGCAAAGTAGGCTAGCACAACACGCATGAATTCCTTGTAGGGGTCAGGCACTGGACAGCATCTCATAACTTTCATGCTTACCCCAACCCTGCTTATGGAAATGGATAAACCAATGCAAACTTGCAGTGCTATTTCAGTACTATTACAACCAACTGCTGGCTTTGTATTTCACAACTTGTATAAAATTATAGTAGTTGATTCCAAAAGCTTCGAAATTTAGATTTTCTATCTCAGAGTTTCTTTGAATATATTGATATTATTATCAGCAAACTCAAAGTAACGCACTTAATTACCATCTCAAATAAGAAACTCGTCTTTTTTTTGCTGCACCCTTACCAAGAACTGCAATAAAACCACCTTGCTCCCTGTTATTTGCACAACTGATTTCATAGTCTGCCATACATTACCATGAATGTTGACACAGAGATGTAAACAACCAACCTGGAATAAGTCTGCATGTCAAAAGAAGAAACTATCCATTTTGCATTTGGAAGCTGAAATCCTGACACAGAATATAGAACAGAAGGGTCTGGTTTGGTTTTAGGCAAAACACTGATTTTTCTTCCTTGATGTTCAATTACAACTGTCAGCTAGCCTGGAGTAAAGCAAATCCTGTTCTTTTAATGTGTTCTCAGCTGGCAGACAGCATTTTACAGAATAGGACATAAGCAGCTGTCTAGCCAGTATTACACTAAGTTTAGTTAATGGCTAATCTGGCATTTGTTCAACAGTGTACTGCAAATGACAACACAGAGAAGGTGCATAAAAAGAAAAAAAAAGACTAAGCTCTATTTTCACCACCTCATTTATGTGGCTGATGGAAATGATAGCATATAAAAAGTGCCAGCATTCTAGTGAAACCTGCCATGTAAATATTTGTGCATAATGCAAGATAGTCAAGCCCTGATTGGCTGTCCTTTTCCATATTTCTAGCAATAACAGAAACTGCAGTTTAGATAAGAAAAAGCTATAAAGTTTTACATCACAAAATTTAAAACAATTTAAAATGATCGTTAATAAGAACCTGAACATGTAAAATGCTAAATGCTTCCAAGGTCTGAGTAATCCAAGTTATCTGGGAATAAAAAGTACTCAGTGCTATTCAGAAGGACCTGGCTTCTTGCCAGATTACCCAGCAAACTATATATGAAGTTTTAAGATGATAAATACATCATGGCTTGAGTTTAAATAAATTTTGGTGCTCTGTTTGGCTTTTCTGAAAATTTAAATCAGACTATTAGTAGTGTACATGGCTGGTTTTTTAAAATCTGCTCCCCCAAACACACCTGCTTTCAGCTCCTTGTCCAGGTAGCAAAATCAGTTGATAGCAACCAAAAAATATTTCCATCTAAGCACAATGCATGCGCTTTTGTACATGAGCTTAGAGGTATTAAGCAAGTTCTTAGCACTGTAAGCTTGCCAGCACATCCGTGTTCACTGGCAACTCTAACAACCAGAGCTACCACTGCCAAGCACAGAAGTGTTGGTTGAAAGTTAACTGTTCTTCCTTCCCTAATGATGGTCACTGTCCTCTGGCTGAAGTGAACTGGTGAGACACACCACAGAATGGGCAGAGCTGTTGCCTCCACTGTACGATCTCCATGGAGAAGTAAGGAAGCCATCTCCAGTATTCTTGGATTTCATATGAATTGCAGTTTCAACCAATAGACTTTTTAAGTCCCACCGAACCAGTCAATTTTTCATCCAGTTTGTAGCCCACAGATCCAGTCCCTACCTTCCTTAAGGATATCTTCCTCCCCATATCTACCACATTTCTTCCAATTTCTCCTATAAATACATAAGTCTACGCTGAAAACAAGATAAATGATGATAGCTACTCTCCCTTCATCCACAGAGCCAGTTATTCATCATTAATGTAGAGACTGGTTAAGTATGATTTGCCCATAGCAAATCCATTGCTGGTTATTCAGAATCACATGCATCAGTTTCCATTTCTCAACAAGTTTTGGCTTTCCCAGTTCCACCCCTGCATGCCCAGTCAATATCTCCATACTGCTCCTTAGCAGTTCCTCACCTTCCCATGTCTTTTAGCATGAGGTCCAGAGTCCTCTGTTCAAAGCATCCTCCTGCTATGCCTGCCTGTTTTCTTGCACATAAGGATAATTCTTGTGCTTTAAGGGAGATACTGTTGAAGATCAACCACATCTCCCATGCTTCTCTGCACTTCAGGGCAGCCTCATGCAGGATCCTGCCTGCCAGTTTGCCAAAAAAGGCAGAGTCCGCTCTCCTGAATTCTAGGATTTTTATTTTATTTGCCATCCCCACTTTCTTCAGTGTCTTAAACTCTGTCATCTCATGGCCACTGCACTAAGGCTGCCACTATCAGTTCCCCAAAAAGTTACTCTTTATTCATGAGTAGCAAACCCAGCAGAATGCCTCTCCTAATCATGTATCCCACTACTTACAATAAAAAATTGGCTCTGACACAGTCCAGGAATCTCCTGGATTGTTAGTGTTCCACCCTGTTGCCCTGAGTAATTAAAGTGTATTTACAAACTATTTTCAACTCCCTCCCATTTGTTTACAATCTCACACTGACAGCAGCTCCTCACCACTGAGCTGACCAGAAGTCAGGAAAATGCCCAAGAATCTCTTACATTGCTGGAATCATAGAATCATAGAATAGTTAGGGTTGGAAAGGACCTTAAGATCATCAAGTTCCACCTCCCCTGCCATGGGCATGGACACCTCACACTAAACCATGTCACCCAAGGCCTCGTCCAACCTGGTCTTGAACACTGCCAGGGATGGAGCATTCACAGCCACCCTGGGCAACCCATTCCAATGCCTCACCACCCTCACATGAAAGGATTTCCTCCTTATATCCAAGCTAAACTTCCCCTGTTTAAGTTTGAACCCGTTACCCCCTGTCCTATCACTACAGTCCCTAATGAAAGAGTCCCTCCCCATCATCCCTGTAGGCCCCCTTCAGATACTGGAAGGCTGCTATGAGGTCTCCACACAGCCTTCTCTTCTCCAGGCTGAACAGCCCCAACTTTCTCAGCCTATCTTCATACGGGAGGTGCTCCAGTCCCCCGATCATCCTCGTGGCCCTCCTCTGGACTTGTTCCAACAGTTCCATGTCCTTTTTATGTTGAGGACACCAGAACTGCACACAATACTCCAGGTGAGGTCTCACGAGAGCAGAGTAAAGGTGTAGGATCACCTTCTTCCACCTGCTGGTCACATTCCTTTTGATGCAGCCCAGGATACGGTTGGCTTTCTGGCCTGTGAGCGCACACTGAAGCCGGCTCATGTTCATTTTCTCACCAACCAGCACCCCGAAGTCCTTCTCCACAGGGCTGCTCTGAATCATTTTTAGCCTGAGAAAGCTATTGGGTAAAATGTAATTCCTTACACTGCAGCATGTATCAGAAACACTACTCTCTGGCCTAGGTGGCTGGCCCTAAGCTATTATCAACAGACACCAAAAGCACAGTGCAACATCTTGTGGACTGGACACAAACTTGAACAAGGTAGCAAATTACTGCAAATGTGAGATGAAAGAGAACTGCCTTGTCAGGAATTCATAAGCCAGGAAACAGAAAAAAAAAAAAAAAAAAGGAAAGAAAAAAAGTAATTCTTCAGCAAATAATTTAAGCAGCTCTACTCCCCATTCAAATAAACATCAACTTACCTACTTCCTGTACTATTTCAGTTGACAGGAGTTTCTTTTAAAAACAAGTCAAAGAGAGGGGATACAATCTTATATTTAGTTATAAAGACCAATTTATTGCACGTAAGTCTTATGAATAAAATTTTGGCCAACTAAGTACCATGTTGTTCCAACAGAAGAAAGTGCTGACAGCTTTAATAAAAATCAGATAAATCCACACCTGTTTGTAGTTCAGGACTTCAGGAATTCTGACACTGATTCTGTACCATACTGCCTTTACTCTGCTCCACCAGTATGAATGGACTGAGATCCAGGTGGATCTATTTGGTAGGCTGTGACAGCAAGGAGTCCAGATTTTCTAAGGCACTATAAGGGCTCTCAGAGCAAGGGCTCTCAAAGCAGTTCTGAAGCTGATGAAAAGGTACCTGATACTTAACACATTAACAAGAGAAGAAGCTGTATCTTTGAGCTGTTACAATTACCCCTACATAATTACACTGTACACTTGAAAGAAAATGGGAAAGAAAACGAGCACACAACTTGCAACCCCAAATAAATCCATTTATTTAAAGAGCTTGATCAAACCTGATCCAGCGGAACTTCTACATGAGTATCTTCATCTTCCTGCACTTCAGCTGCTCCCCAGATTTCAGACCCATCTCCACTGGCTTTGAAAATATTTTCACCTATAATGGGAAAGATACAGAGTGGAAGGAAGCGAAGTCCCATTGTGACACTGTGTGGCACGACTACTGAACTGCACTCAATTTTGTTTCTGAGAGCAGGTTTCTGAGCTGACCCACCATTTCCTATACAGTTCTTTCAATGAAGTTTTCAATCTCCCATTATTGTGAATTTGTTTTCCTTTTTAATAACAAATACTTACATGCTACACCATTTGGAGAAGAGGAAGGAAAGAGGAAAAGGGGGAAAGGGTCAAAAATGAAAAAGAAGTAAAAAAGAGGGAAAAGTGTAAAAAAAGGGAAAAGGGGAAAAGAAGAAACGGGAAAAGGGAAAAAGGGAAAGAGTAAAGGAAACTCTTTCCTTTAAAAAATATCCTAAGTCTGAAGTTCCTTCACTTCTGACAAAGGTCAGGAGTCAATCTGAACTTAATACATATTCTTCTATTTCTGCAGTCGATTATACCCCCCAGTAATTTGCACTATCACACACATCTATCAAAAATCTCAGGCTCTGAGTCAACAACAGAAGTCATGAAACAGGACAGCAGTAAAAGATTAACAGAAACAGCTGGGATTAATGCTGCTCCCCACCCTTGGGCACATGCTGGAACTATAGCTGAAACTCCATACTCACATTAAAAAAGCGCATACTGCTAACCAACAAGGTTAATGGTTACAATAATATTCAATTTTGCAAAGATTTTATACCATTTAGTTTGGGTATTTTTTCCCCCAGTTGCAAGTAATAACTAGGGGTCATCAAAGTTTCGAATATAGGTCTTTCAGTATCAGTTAACTAGGAGAGTGAAGATAAGTACATACAGAAAGCAAACAATTTCAGGTGAGACACATTTGTCTTTTCCTTCATCCCAAACTGAAAACAGTCCGGAAATTACAAACACAGGTTACTCCAAATCATAACCTCCTCTCCCTCTCCATCTATCTAGGAAAGTGTCAAGGTTTAAACCCAGTCAGGCAGCTCGTTCACTCACTCCCCCCCCTTCTTGCCCTCCCCCTACTCCCGGAGGGACAGAGAGGAGAATCAAAAAGAATGCAACTCCCACAGGTTGAGATAAGAACAGTTTAGTAACTAAGGTATAACACAAATCACTACTGCTACCACCAATAATAACGATAAAGGAAATAACAAGGGAAGAGAATACAACACCTCACCACCAGACAGCCGATAACTCGCCACCCCAACCCCAGCTAAACCAAGCACCGACAGATACCTAGTCCAACCCCACTTACATCCTGGGCATGACATGCTGTGGTATGGAATACCTCTTTGGTCAGTTTGGGTCAGGTGTCCTGTCTCTGCTTCCTCTCGGCTTCCCCTCCTCCCTGGCAGAGCATGAGGCTCACAAAGTCCTTGGCCAGACCAAAACATCATTGTTATCAGCTCTGTTCCCAGGCCAAAAGTCAAAACACAGCACTGCACCAGCTACCAAGAAGGAGAAAAATGACTGCTACTGCTGAACCCAGGACAGCAGATGGTCCTATGCTGATGTGTTCATATCCAACATAATAAATAACAACAGTAAGGAAGAGGAAAATATATTTGTGCTGTTTCAGACTGACTCTTAATTCTCCATAAAAGGATGTGAACTTGATAACATCAACTGACAATGCAAACTGATCTACATTGCTGGATGCTATTAAATAAACAGCCCTAGTGTAGCACTGAACCATTCACAGAACCGTTGAGAAGGAGGAAAAATAATGGACAAACCCCCAAGACTTAGAGAAATCTGGAATCTACCTGCATTAAAAGGCAGCATTGACTACTTTGGAAGTTAGTTTCCATCCTGGGTTCAGCAGTAGCAGTCATTTTTTCTCCTTCTTAGTAGCTGGTGCAGTGCAGTGCTTTTTGACTTTTGGCCTGGGAACAGCGCTGATAACACCAATGTTCTTAGTTACTGCTCAAATGTTTCATCTGGCCAAGGACTATCTGAGCCTCATGCTCTGCCAGGGAGGAGGGGAAGCCGGGAGGAAGCAGAGACAGGACACCTGACCCAAATTGACCAAAGTGGTATTCCATACCACAGCACGTCATGCCCAGGATGTAAACTGAGCGTTACCCAGTAGGGCTAGTTCACTGCTCCGTCAGGCTGGGTACTGGTCGGCGGGTGGTATTGTATTCTCTTCCCTTGTTAGTTCCCTTATCATTATTATTATTGGCGATAGCAGTAGTGATTTGTGTTATACCTCAGTTACTGGACTGCTCTTATCTCAACCTGTAGGAGTTACATTCTTTTGATTCTCTCCCCATCCCTCCGGGCACGGGGGCAGGAAAGGGAGGGGGAGTGAGCAAGCACTGCATGGCTGATTTACGACTGAACTTAAACCACAACAGTTTTCCAATTACTTTGTCATCACCACAAAAGCCAAGCAAAGCATTTACCCTGGGAACAAAATTCTAAGACATACCATACCACTGCAAATGGCTAACTGGAAGGAAGGTGCCAGCTCATCCAGATGGCTTTAGATATCTACTGACAGGCCACTGACAAAAGCAGCAGAAATGAAAGCCATTCTCATAGTTTAAAATTAAGATGAAGAAAGCCTCTTTCTATGGAACATCGCAATGATATTCCAGAATGGTACAGCTGATTGCATCTTAGGAGACAGATTTTCTGATGGATACAGCACCTTGAGCTCCTGAGCATCAGTCCCATTGAACCTCCCTTCCACAAACCACCAAAAGATCTAGACTACTTGTCCTCTGAAAGTATTGGTGTTGGAAATACCACAAGGTTCTCAGGATTATTGGATGTACTCTTACTCTAAACATCGCACTCATCTTGAAAAAGTTCCCATCTTCATACTTAGCATAGAAATATCTTTTTCCCTAAGTCCCTTTCTTTTGTAGATTATTAAATATAATTCATCTGTTGTAGCATGTTCCACTGACACCAACTAAGAACATCCAATATTTGCTGGCAGTATGGCAAATCTTGCACAATCTTTATGTACATATCTCATTACAGATCCCCTTTACCAAGACACGGTTGGGTTTTTTTTTTTGACAAATTCTATCAATGCACTTCACATTCCCCATTTCTCTGAGCTCTCTAAGGGACAGAATGTTCAGTTTCTCTTATCTGATATTATCATTGTGGCCTTTCATCATAGACATTAAACTGAGATATAGATTGCTACCATATTCTGAGAGGAAAAAGTAATGTGTTCCTTGAAAGCTACCGTGATGACTTTCCTAATTCAAGGCTTTCTCTGAAATACATAAGAAAAGAACCTTGTCCTAGATCCCTCAGCTCGCTGAAATATAAGAGGTCAAATCAGTTCTGAGAGAACTGCATTTAGTATCACCATTTAGACTCTGTAATACCAACTTTGCCTTCAAGATCCCCAAGTCTTTAAACCAAAATGGGGATTTTCTGGCATCTAGAGCTGAAAGGATTTTGGTACAGAGGTAACTCTAATTAGGTTTTTCTCCTGCAGGCAAAAGAAGTACAAGGGAGATAAACATGTGCTGACCCTGGAAGCCAAATCCACAAAATTCATCTCAAGAGCTTAGGATTCTCAATTTTAAAGCACTTCTTAGAAGACTAAGTCAGCCTCAGGGCTATGCTGAATAGCCCAGCATAAGGAGATAGATGTGCAAGTATTTTCAAAAACCTCAAGCATTAAACCAGGAGGGAGTGAGGGAGAGGGAGGAAGACAATAAGTTCCTACCTGTGTCATGAAAATAAGTTTCCCATTCAAAACTGTGTATCCAAATAGCTATTAACAGGGGAATTTCAATAAGCAAAAACTGAAATCCTCACAGGATTTCCTCTAAGCAATTTCTACCACGTGTCTTCTCAGAAAGATAGTCATAAATGAAAAGAGATTAGTTGAAAAGAGTTCTGCACAACCTTCAAGCATCTCTAAAGAATACAACTGTTGTTTTGCATAGAAAGTACTTTAAAGTGAAGTAGCATTCCTGCTCTTCCACAGCGTGGAATATGGTAAAATCAGATGGCAGCCTGCAAGGGGAAATAATAGTGACCACAGAAGTCACCAAAAAACTTCAAGGACAGTGTTTTCACACTTGGAAATGAACTCATTTTCAGAACTATATTCTTTGGAGAAAACAAGTAGTTAAAAAATAGCGCATTTCAAATGTGTACAACACAGAAGATCATTGGTTGGTTTCTAAAAGGATGGCAGAAAAGTTTTGTTGTCAGAAAAGAAAAAATTCTTTAAGGAAATAAGAAAATTGACAGCAAAAGGGAAAATAATTATTTACCTCTGCACAGAAATGAAAGTATGGAAGACAAATGTCCAAAACACATGTACCATTAATAGTCAGGGAAGAAAGGATTTTGGTCTGAAATGTGCCAAAACAGGTGAAGAAAAAAAATTACACTAACTGAAAATTGTAAGGTTTAACACTTGAACAAATAAATAATTCCAAGAAAATATCAAAGAACAAAATTAGTCTTCCAATAGGATACATACATTGATCCTATGGTACCAAAAATGAAAAAAACAAACAAACAAACAAACAAACAAAGTAAAAATTGCCTGACAATATTTCGTGGCCTTCTATGATGGGGCTACGGAGCTGATGGACAGGGGTAGAGCTGTTGACGTCATCTACCTGGACTTGTGCAAATTGTTCGACACTGTCCCACACGACATCCTTGTCTCTAAATTGGAGAGACATCAATTTGATACATGGACCATTCGGTGGATAAAGAACTGGATGGATGGCCGCACACAAAGAGTTGTGGTCAATGGCTCAATGTCCAGCTGGAGAACAGTAAAAAGTGGTGTCCCTCGGGGGCCAGTGTTGGGGCTGATCTTGTTCAACAACTTTGTCGGTGACAAGGACAGTGGGATTGAGTGCACCCTCAGCAAGTCTGCCGATGACACCAAGCTGTGTGGTTCAGTTGATATGCTGGAGGGAAGGAATGCCATCCAGAGGGACCTTGACACACTTGTGAGGTGGGCTGATGCCAACCTCATGAAGTTTAACCATGACAAGTGCAAGGTCC